GGACACAAAAGTCTTGTAGACCACTTTTTGTGGCTGTAGACCACTTCTCCCTCCCGTAGACCACTTTGGTGCTCGTAGACTAGTTTTTGAGGCTTCCGGCTGCGCGCCTCGCCTCCCGGACTCTTGTCTTACATCCTTTTTGGTTTGTTTTTGGCACAAACCTTGTTTTCCTTGCTTGGAGGGTGGAATGAGGGTTGGAGACCAGTTTCTCTCCATGAAAACCACTTTTCTTCCCCACCAGCTAGTTTTTGGTCGGCCAACTGGTCTTGGTGGCCTTTGGACTAGCAAAAGTGGTCGGCAGCCATGCCACCACTATGCTTTCTTGGTGTAGACCACCTCTCCCCCCTGCCGACCACTTGGTCTTCTTGCAGACCACTTTAAGTGGTCGGCCGACCAGTGCATGTAGCTAGCCGACCACTTCAAGTGGTCGGCAGCTTTCCTGTAGTTTCCTGCAGATATTTTCTTGCCAGCTGTGACAGCTGGTAATCACAGAAACCATCCTCCATTGCATCTAGCTTCAAGCTTGTTCAACAAGCTTGAGGCTTGGTTTTCTATATAAGGAAGGCCCTCTCTCCCTTCTCCAGGTTCAGAAAATTGCTTAGGAAAATATACATACACTTGTATCTCTATATTGCTCCTTTGCTTCGTATTTGTGCTCAAAAGTGTAGTTTCTTCACACTTTTTCACACAAACACATAGTGAAACACCATACTATTGGAGTTGAGGCACGTAGAAGCTGGTTTTGGTGTTTTTGGATTGGTTTGAACTCAGAAAAGCTGCTGGAGTTGCAGCTTTGAAGTTATTCTTCAAGGGTGAGTTAACTAGCCCTTTAAAGCTTTATTTTGATTAAGCTTTTGGACCTATTTCCATACTTATTTTGGCTTGACTTTCTACTATAAAAAGTTTTGATTTTTAGTGTTTAACATGTTTGTTTAAGGCTTCTTTGGTGTTAGGGGTGGTCTACCCCCTCTTGTGCCTTGTTTGGCTTTGTTTTTGTGCTATCCTTTTAAGCTATTGGGACCACCTCCTTTTGGCCTTCTCACCACTGAAACTCAGAGGAATTTCAGTGGTGAAAAGGGTGTTTTGAGGTCCCAAATAGGAAGAGGTTATCCCCTCTCCTTGTGTCTTGATTGCTTTCCTTGTTGGCCTCATGTTTGAGCATGTTTATCTAGCATATGTTGGCTCCATCTCAAGCTATTTTTTGCCTTGTTTCAGTATGGCATGCCTCTATTTTGGCTTAGTTTAGGCCACCCTTGCATGCTTTATACACTTGTAGTGTAATCCTTGCAAACTAGCCTTGTATGCCTCATGTTTTAGCATGTCTTGCTAGCCCATTTTGGCTCTATTGCAGCATGTTTTTGGTGTTGTTTTAGTATGCTTTAGCTCTGTTTTAGGTTGGTTTGATAGCATCTTGCATGCTCCTTGCACTTGTAGTGTATTTTCATTCACTAGCCTAACATGCATCATGCTTTGGACCATCATTCTAGCATGCTTTTTGGCTCTACTCAAAGAAGCTTTTGTTCATGTTTTACCATGCTTGAGCTTTGTTTTATGTTGTTTTGGTCATGCATGCCTTGCTTTGTATAGCCATAGTGCATTCTAGCTCACTAGCTTTGAGTTTCCAAGTCACTAGCATGCATTCCTCGGGCTATTTGCATGATTTGACATCATTTGGTATGTGATTTTAGAGCATGTTTCACTGCCATGTCTTCACATCTTTTACTCTTTCAATGCTTTGGAGGGTTGGTGCTTTATGCCTTAAAAATGAGCCATTGTGTATGTCATCTTGCCTAGGCTTTTGGGCCACAATTTTAGTGTGTTTTTGGTGTTGTTTTGCCAGAATACAACTCTGATTTTTGTTGGTGAAGTCATCTCATGCTTGGTTTTGGTAGGTGTAGTGTACTCCTCCTTATTGGCCTTGCATACTCCATGCTTCATGCCTCCATGGTAGCTTGTTTTGGTTTTTCTCCATACATGTTTTAGCATTGTTTTGACATACCTTAGGACTGTTTTGGATTGTCTTGGCCATATGGTTCATGTATTGCATAGCTATAGTGCAAATGCCTATGCTAGTTTCAAGCTTTGAGCCTCTTAGCATGCCTCATTTGTGTTGATCGGATGATTTGGCATCATTTAACACTTCATTTCAAAGCATATAGCATTGCCATGTTCCCACTTTTTTACTCTTTGAATGCCTTTAAGGGTTGTGCATTATTGCCTTGTTTGTGGACCAATGCATATACATGCATGCCTAGACCTTTGAGCTCCCAACTCAGCATGTTTTGGTCCTTGTTTTGACCTATTTGAGCTCTGTCCATGATTGGTTCCATCATTCGTGCCATGTATTGCATGCCTATTGTGTAGTCTCCTTGAGTAGCCTTGTGCCTTAGGCCCTCTTGTATGACATACTTGGGTTGTTTAAATGGTTTGGCATCATTTCATACATGTTTTTAGAGCTTGTAGTGTTGTCATACTTCCATATTTGTCACTCCTTGCTCATGTTTGAGAGTTATGCTCTTATGCTTAATTGGCGAGCCAATGCATGTGCATGTATCATCTTGCTTTTCATACCACCCTTTCATAGCATTATGGCCACTGTTTTGGGCATGATTGAGGTCTGTCCATATTTGGTTTAAGTCCATTGAGCATGTTGTTTGAATGCTTTTGCTTGCATTGTGTTTGTATGCTTGTTGCATTGCATTATGTTTGCTTACTTGTTGCATTGTATTATGTTTGTCATACTTGAGTTGCATTGCATGTGTTTGGATAGGGTGTTAGTCTAAACACGAGAAACGAGGGACGTTTCATACTTGAAGTGATGAAACGTGCCTCATTTCTCGATTGCTAACCCTCTTGATCATGCATGATAGAGGTTAAGGCCCTTAAGCGTTATTTGTGCATTCATTCACATTGATTCGTGCAAACTTGGCTTCTCGGCCATCGTGCATTGCAATGCTCGGTTGGTGGCCCGAGAGTCGAGAACCGCACTCTCTTGAGCCTAAGAAATGATAGGGAGGTTGGTCGTGCACACATATCTTGCAAATACATGGCTGTGCCCCTTCTTGTTCTCTGTTGCAGCAAAATGGAGCTTGGCAGGATTTTATGGTTTGCAGCAAGTTTGGGTGGTCGGCAGCCTTCCTGGAAGTCTCCATGATGGAGTAGAAGCTATCTGGAGGCTCTTGCAGTGTTCTGAAATCAAATCCAAATAGAGGCAAGTTGGGGCATAACAATGGATTTCCGAGCGAGGAACCAAATGCATGCATTGTCCAACTTTCCAAAGCAAAGCTGAGTAGTGTAGTTTAATGCTTATTTGTCTAGCTTGAATTTGTAACTTAATTAATTTGATTAATTAGGTGGTTTGTAATTAATTAGCTTAGCGTAGCTAGTTAGTTAATTTATTTGGACCTTCCGTCGAGAGGGCGAATTTTGTAATAAGTGTGCGTGTGTGTGATGCATGTCTTCCAACCCCCATTTCTTTCTCTCTTTTATTTACCAGCTTTCAATGGTTAGTTTTAGGGCATGTTTCAATTAGCATGCTTATGTTTGCATGTGTGCATCCATTCATCTGTCTTGTATGCACCGGGCTCGGCGCATCATACAAATTGCATTGTATTTCAATACTAATTTGAATACATGTTATCTAGTTGCATACACATGTCATCTTAGAATAGCCGAGCCTATCTTAGTTGCATTTTTGCATGTGTTGCATTAGACATTATTGACATAGCTAGGATCATGCATTGATTACTAACTAGCTTCTTTTTTGGCTCGGAGTACTAGGTAAGCTTTTACGCTTTAGCATATCGCATGAGTGTGAATGCTGCCATGTATAGCATGCTTGCCATGAGGCTATGTGCTTAATTGATTAACTGCATGAGTGCCTGTGGATAAAGGCTTCATTACTTGAATTGGGACGATTCATTGATTGTGAGCTTTTAAGTCCACTTGAAGTGGCAAATCACCATGTTTTCTAAGCCCACTTGAGGGTGGCAAATCCACGACTTACCCTACTTGCGAGTAGCACTTCCAAACCATTTTCGAAAAACACAAAGAATTGTTTTGTTCTAATTTGAGTGATTTAGTCTATACTTGTATGCTGTGCGCATCACATAGTAAGCTAGCTAATAAACCGGAATAAGAACACATGTGTTTTCAAAAACAACATATCATGTTAGTAAAGGCCGATCCTTTGATCGAGCGAGCGGGGGTGATCATTGCATGACCTTCCCCTCTCGTACCCAAGTTCCCGAGCTGAGGCAACTTTGATGATGACGGACATGTAGCCTTAGGCACGAGTCAGGGTTTCCTAAATTTTCCAAAATAAAATATTTAGGTGATGACTCTGAAATCTGGCAAAGCAGTCCATGTTTGGCACTTCTTGATTAAAATCAAGTTTTTCCAAAATGATTTGCCGAATTTTGACTCTTCGGTGATTTATCAGTCTTACATTGCACTTTGTGGGATTAGATTCAGAATCGTGACAGGAGTCCGAACTATAGTAGCTAGAACCACGATTCGCGCCCTCGCGCGCGGAACGGAGTTCGGGTGGTCTACAAGTGTTAATGTGAACTCTTTTCATATATGCACAGCTCGATGGACTACTTCTATATTTTAATTTGCTTTTGCTAAGCCCCATAATTCATGTTAATTTGATTTTGTTAATAGAGGCCATAGGTAATTAGAGATTACTAGCCAGTCATGATACTAAACCTATAGGGGGGTTTGGGTCGTGACTAAGTGGTATCAGAGCACGAGTTATACCTCACTCACTGGTTCATTGAGCTATAGAGAGTCTAGAAGAGACTTTAGGATTGCATTCATGTACATTTGAAATTTTGAGTGAGATGATTTCGTGATTATATATGCAATTGTGTGCGTGAATATCTATTGTGTTTGTCATAATACAAGTTTCATATAGAAAATAGTGAGGACAAGAGGTGATGAGCTAGAGGAGGCAACCTCCTCAAGACTGGATAGAACGGAACGGATTGATGCAGGACATGGCTGAAGCCATAAGACAACAACATCAGTGGCAACAACAACAACAACAACTACCACCCCCATCTCCAATGCCTGTACCACCTCCATCTCTAGGGTTTCAAATAGGGGACTATACTGTTACTTTGACTAGAGAATTCAAAAAGATGAAACCACCGTTGTTTCATGGCGGAATTGAGCCACTAAAGGCCAAAGCTTGGGTCTTAGGGATTGAGAAGTTGTTGGAAGTGTTCCCATGTACCAAAGCTCAGAAAGTACAACTAGCTTCATTTACATTAGAAGATGATGCCAGGCGTTGGTGGATGTTGGTTCAAGATGAGAATAAGGATATTACTTGGGCACACTTTCTAGAAATCTTTTATAGTAAATACTTCTTGTAATGTGTACAGGACATAAAAGTGTCTGAATTTATGGAACTCAAGCAGGGAAACAAATCAGTTGTCGAGTATGAGGCTCAGTTTATAGAGTTAGTCCGTTTCGCACCCCACATGGTAGATACGGACTACAAGAAAGCTAGACAATTTGAGGGAGGTTTGTGTGACCTAATCCTAGACAGAGTCAATGTACTTAAATTACCAACATATGTGGATGTGCTTGATAGGGCACTAATAGCAGAGGGAAATGTGGCCAACCGTAAACAAAATTTCGAATGGAAGGGCAGTAGACAGAATTTTAATAAGGGGACACCATCAACAAATAACAAGTTGAAGTCTGGGAATTCCAATAATTCAGGGTCAACCCAAAGTGGCAACTTAGTACCTACTTGCACCATTTGTGGAAAGAAGCACTGGGGTGTTTGCTATCGCACTACGAGGGCTTGCTACTAGTGTGGAAAGTTGGGGCATATAGTGAAAGATTGTACACAGTCACGTTAGGGTAGTAACTGAGGTGGCACAAACTCGATTAGATCAGTTCCCACAACAAGACCAGCTGTGACACCGTCTACTACAAGAAATGAACAAAGGCAAGGAAGAGTTTTTGCATTAGTCCCAGGGGACACTCAAAATACTGAGGCAGTAGTGTCAGGTACAATCTCCATATGTGGTAAACCTGCTTAAGCTTTAATTGATTCAAGGTCTACACATTCGTTTGTTTCTATAATTTTCGCTGAAACTTTGAATGGACCTATGGAAACATTGAGTTATATATTATGTGTTGCATCACCTAGGGGGGGTGTTAAAAATTTTACTATTCATGTTTTGAATAATTCGGCTGATCATTATTCATCTTTTGACAAATTTGACGTGATTGTCACTTTTGAGTAAAATTGTATTATATCTTTTTGATACATATTGTACCGAATTCAAAACTATTTTGCATCTTTTTATATGTAGGACATACCTACATAATAAGTATCATGAGCAATTATTTTACGTTAGCAATGCTGGGGATTGCATCTTATATATATACATGATATTATATTCAAAAGTGTTGATTGAATTATATATTCAAAACCTTGGTGATTTAGCAAAAGTTTGACAAAGTAAAAAGGACAAAAAAAACAAATGTAAAGTTTGACAAATAAAAAGTGGACAAAGAAAATATAATGTTTGACAAAGAAAATATAAAGTTTAACAAAGAAAAGGTGTGCTAAGCTGCTTTTCCACAGGCTATTCTATTGAGGACCGTCTCTTCTTCCAACGGATATATTTTTGTGTACAAATAGAAGTTTTGTGTAGAGAAAAATTAAGAACTTGAAGAGAAAAATCTGTGTGCTCCAAAATTTTAAGTGTATTCTGCTCTTTCACTTTCAAATCTAAGTGTAGTCTTTGTTCTTACACTTTCTTGTCTACTCTTTATGAGAGAATTATTGTAAAAGAGGGTTGAAGTACCTCTTATCCGTATTTATTATTTTGTGAAGGAATTTTGTAGGAGTGAGGAATTTATTGTTGTGTGAGGCTCAATAGTTAAAAATAAGACCTGTACAAAATCCACAAGCTTGGTGAAGCCTTGGTAGTGTATTAATTCATTTTGATAGTGAAGAAATTCTCAACGAGGTTCCTTGGGAGTGGATGTAGGCCCGGCGTGCTGAACCATTATAAATCTCAGTGTTTGATTTTCTCTTCATGTCTCTCTTACTTTTATATTGATAATTATTGTTCTGTTTTTTTATTTGTTAAAATTCTAAATATTGTGTTTATTATTTTTTAATATTGTAAAATTTTTAATAACCCAATTCACCCTTCCTCTTGGGTTGCCTACCTGGGATAACAGGGGGGATCCATGTTATGCTCAACTGTATATGCTACATGTGAATTATTTCTCAGGAATGCTATTTTGTATGCTGATTTAATACCCTTAGGCATGAGACATTTTGATGTTGTTTTGGGTATAGATTGGCTAGCTAAATATTATGCAACTATTGATTGTGCTTTGAAATGAGTGATATTCCAACCTCCCGGACAAGATGAATTTTATTTCGAGGGAAAAAGGGTAGTTCCACCACCATACCTTGTATCTGCCATGAAAACCCAAAAACTAATGAAAAAGGGTTGTCGAGGGTATTTGTGTAGTGTAATAACCGAACCAACTATAGACATTACTCTAGACAATATACCAGTGGTAAGAGATTTTTCTGATGTGTTTTTGGATGAATTACCTGGCCAAGTTGTTGATAGAGAGATTGAATTTACAATTGATGTAATATCGGGCACACAACTAATGTCTAAAACTCCCTACCATATGCCCACTATGGAAATGAAAGAATTGAAAACTCAGTTGCAGAAATTGCTTGATAAGGGATTTATTCATCCAAGCACTTCGCCGTGGGGAGAGACGGTTCTTTCTGTGAAGAAGAAAAATGGAACCCTCTAACTATGTATTGATTACAGAGAACTCAATAAGGTAATAGTGAAGAATAAATATCCATTCCCACGTATTGATGATTCATTTGACTAGTTGCAGAGGGCCCAAGTATTTTCAAAAATTGACTTGAGATCAAGCTATCATCAATTGAAAGTTAGGGCTGAAGATATTGAAAAGACTGCTTTCTGAACCAGGTATGGACATTATGAGTTTTTAGTCATGCCTTTCGAAGTCACTAATGCACCCGTAGCGTTCATGGATTTGACGAACAGGGTTTTCAAACCTTTCTTAGATGATTTTGTTGTTGCTTTCATCGATGACATTTTGATTTATTCAAAAAGTAAGGATGAGCATGAACAACATTTGATAATGACTCTTCAAACACTTAGAGAAAAGCAACTATATGGGAAATTAAAGAAGTGTGAGTTTTGGCCTGATGAAGTAACATTTTTGGGGCATGTTATTAACAAAAACGGTATCTCAGTTGACCGTCAGAAAATCGAAGCAATTGTTGATTGGCATACTCCAACTAATGTAACAGAAGTTCGTAGTTTTATGGGATGGCCTGGTTATTATCGGAGGTTTGTTAAAGACTTCTCAAAGATTGCAGTGCCATTGACTCAATTGACTCGAAAGGGAGAACCATTTGAATGGACCAACCAAAGAGAATCTGCATTTCAAGAACTAAAGACAAGATTGACCATAGCTCCAATCCTCACTATACCCTCAGGTACGGAAGGATTTATGATTTATAG